CCCACCCCAACATACTCGCAGCTTTAAATGGGCGGCTGATGGTAAGGTTCTCTAAGTTTCTCCTCCAGGGCAAACTCATCCTCCAAGATTCCCCAACTGAAGCCCAGACACAAACCCACACACCCTTGTTAGAAAACTTTAATCTGATTTTTAAAGGAATCTCTGGAATGGCCTGTGTTTCAAAGCTGTGCGGCAGACTGAATCTCTTTGCATATCTCCCGTCCCCCTCAATAAAGGAGCAAGCAAGGTATATACACTGGCCAGTTGGATCATCCATTGTAATTTTATTTTAAATCATGATAGACAGATTGCGTGAAAAACAAGGAATTCCAAAGAATTTCCTGCTCTGGGAACAGAAGTTAAGTCTATATTTAACAACATTTGAAGCTGTCAAGAATGCTTTGTGGTTGGATAACAGAGGCAGAAAAATGTTAAAAACGCAGGCTACTGCTATACCCAAATATGGAAATATTGTTACGTCTGGTGTCTGATTCACCATCTGGAAATACTTACAACCATGAAGTCAAATAGAAAAGACTCCACAACAGAAGCCAGGAACACTCCTCTCCATTCTCTCCCCACGACCTCCTCCCACCCTGTACTGCGCCTACTCACCCCCATCCCCAGTCACTTCATTAAGAGGGAAACGATAATGAAGCTTTAAGGCAGGAAAAAAAACGTTTTCTAAGTGGTAATGGATGGACTGTCTTGAGTACCAAGTAGGGCCCAGATTTTCCTATTTATTTGCACAACACCTGACAAGTCCTGAAAAGTAAGCCACGCACCCCAAACCCTCCAACAAAGCCTTAGAGATCCTACTCCCACAAGCCAAAGCCTCTTAGACTTATGAAAGGGCACTTTTGAATGAATGAAACTTAACTCTTTCCTGCGCAGTTCTCTTTATTGGATAATGTTTTCATTACAATAGCTTCTCATTGTACTTATCAGAGTAATTCACAGAAAAGTTGGCACTGAGGGACTTCTTAAGCAAGACTGCTAAATTGTGAAGAACAGCCCTAACACATTAGAAAGGACGAAAAGTTCTAGAGCACATATAAAAGACTGGCATAATTACTTTGTGTTTTTATTAAAATTGCACAAGAATGTAGTTTTTGAAACTTTGAGGGAGAATTTATCAGTAACACTAATGATACTGATAGTGTTAAAGCAAACAGTGTGGGGGGTCTTCTACGGCATGTGTTGCAGGTAAAACAGGATCTTAAATTCTGCTAACAGTTTTATTACAGAACAGTATATCCGAAAATCTCGTATTCCTCGGTACTTGGCTAGAAAAGCATTGCAATCCATTTGAAATGGGAGGCTTCTAAGTGGTCCCAAGGAAAAGTGTTAAAAACCCCACGAAACTTTTAGCTTTAGACCCACTGGGCCCAATGGTGCTGGAATCTGGCTTGGCATTGCAGTATATACAGGTGATGATCTCAGGACAAATTACTGCAAGGTGGTCCCCTCTGCTTTTGGCTGGCTGCTTAGTTAGCAACGCCTCCCGACCGGGGAGGGAGGGAGGCTGGAAGGGCTTACCCTGTCTCCCGCATCCGTGAGGAAGTAGAAGTCAGCCTCCCGGAGAACTCCCTGCGTTTGTTTCCTCTCGGACTTCCAACCCAGGCAGTGGGCTGGAACTAAAGTGGGAACCTCCAAAAACAAACAAGTACGACATACCAAAAAAGGGAGGGGGGGCGGAAGGGGGAAGACCTCTGCCTGGGAATCTGCCAGACGGTGGGGGAAGCTGATTCCCCCCCCCCCC